AAACTTAAGTTAATTTGTGTGCCATGCTTGATGTGCTTGCTATCTTTCTATAATAGATTATGTGATGTTTAGTTAAACAACTCTAGGTGCTATGCCTCCTTGTGTAACCTTGAGCTTGTTTTGAATGTTTTTAGGTGATGCATCCCTTGTGGTCATTCTTTGCATTCATATCTCTGCATTGTGCATCTCATTTAGGGACGCTAGATGGACCACGTGAAGGGTGGAAGGACATGATGTTGGAGTCGAACCAAAAGACGGTGTTGGTGGATAAGTCCCAAAGATGGTGTGTTGGTGGACAGATCCGAAGATGGAAGGACCCTGAGGGTTCATGCCTGAACTAGAGATGCTCACCAAGCGAGTGTTATCTAACAAACACTGACCTAGTGTTGGATCCTAGGTATGCCCCAGAGCATTCTAAGTCTCCTACCCTCTGTTTTTACAAATGCACATAAGTATAACTTTTGTATGCTGTATTAGGTGATAGGAGTTGAATGAAGCCATTGGTGCATATTTCCTACCTTGTCTACTATATATATAAATGCCGGTACCCTTACTAGATGAATAGGTCGACCTATGCTTAGCCATGCTTAGACAGGTAGAAGTGGGTGATTTCCTGTCACCTACAATATAGGTGGATACCTGGTCACAGTTGGCTATATTTACTATCGTAGAAAATAATCATGTGGTAATGAATAAATAAAGACCGAACAGGATCTGGTGATTGAGAGGCAGCAAGACATGGAGGTCTTGGGTGCATGTTTTATCCCATCTGTGTCGGTTAAGGACCGTATCGTTGTTGGTCCTCGGTCATTTTGAACACAGCCTCTCACTTAGCTGGCCGGATAACTCATTCCGATCGCAAAGCCGAGTAGCTTAACTTAGGCCGGGAGTCGTTCTGTCCAAGGGTGCACACTAGAGGTAGTAAAGATGTGTGAGGACATGGATATGAGACCAAGGGCAGGCAAGGCCTGAGCATCCTGGCAGCTGGTTGGTCCCTAAGTGTGCGACGCTGATCGAACCCGCGAAGTTGAATCCTGAGTTGTACCAAAGGTGACCCGATGCGACCCCGACGGGGGAAGTGTGGGTTTGTGTTAGGATTTTTGCCTAGCTGGTTGCAATCGATTTGAATCATCGTCTCTCTCGAATAGTGAGAAACTTGACCGAGCTTCCTTCATTCATAGTAACACTGGATGGAACATAATGGTCATGATAATTATATGATAAACTAGATATGGTTACTATTGTGATGCTTATTAATCAAGTGATTGCTCTAGAATAGGTGCAAAGTTAGCCATAATAAGCTTCACTAAACTTGATGCTAAAATATTGACTAAAATATTGAAGGTAAGGACTTATGATAGTAATGCTCTTTTTGCAAAGTTATGCTATCCAACCAGCTCCACGAAATAAGCCTTGCATATCCTTGAGAGTCTTTTTATTTCTCTCCTAATGGGTAAGTCTAGCTGAGTACATTCGAGTATTCAGGGCTTATCCCACCTTGTTGCAGGTGAAGTTCTCGGCCTACGGAAGATGGTGGCTAACCACCGGTGGGCTCAGTGACTCTATATTTATTTCTCGTCTATATGGTATTGTTGGAGGATGTTAATTATGCTAGCAGTGTATTTGAAACTTATGTTATTATAACCATTTTAAAGCTATGTTGTTTTAGCTATCATATTTGTAAACTTGGCAACATATTATTATTTACGAACTCAATTGTAAACATTATTTTCGCTGCAACTCCGTGTATGTGATGTGTATTTGCTTAATCTATTACGGTCTTGGTTGTGATGTGAATTTACTGAGGTCCTTCGTGACACTCAGTGGACTACCGGATTTATATAAGTGAAAGTATGTACGCGTCAATGTGTTAAACGAGAACAACCATATTTGATCTTGTATAAATTGGGCAGTTCTGTCATATGGAGAAACATGTTGGGACATCCCTTGATTCATGATGTGTAGGTGTATGGATACGACATGACAACCAGTGAATGAGGGGTGAAGGGTAGGTTAGGCATGGTGTTGACAGACCATATAATGGTGTAGGGAACGCATGAGGCATGATAGCTATGGACCAAGCAGTGGTTTAGGGCAAGTAGTAATTTTGGCGCCTATGTTCCATGAGATCGTGAAGGGTGACTGAAGGCTTGGCACCGAAGGTACTGTCTGCTCTGACCTCTCAAAGAGGCATGTCAATTCAAATCGCTCACATGGAGAGTCAAAGAATACATGTGGACAAGAGGATAATGAAGATGGTGCCGACCAAGTCAAGGAGGCGGAGGAGGATGGTCTCATGGCACATAGAGGAGAGGCCAAACATGTGTACATCGAGATGATGAAGATGACATCGATCAAGTCAAGGAGGAAGGCTAAGGCTTCGAGCCACGCAACGACATCGATGAGTCACACCTTATAGGTTGTGCAAGAGGGTTTCCTAATTTAGTCCTCAAAATGGGGGCATGGATAGTTTTGTGGTTTGGGCCTCAAAACTAGGGTATAAGTTGTAGGATGCATGGCATCACCATGAAGCTTGCATTAAGGCGAAGTGAAGCCATGAAGATGCCATGCCCGTCTGATGCACCGATAAAAATATAGCATCCGGTTTTAAGAATAAAACCAGATATGTACCATATGTGAGCCCAGAAAGTCAAATCTCACATATAACTACAAATAAGGGTAATATCAAAAGACAATACTTAATATATATAACAAACAAGGAAGATAACCTTAGGCACAAATAGCGGATAGACAACTCCGATCTTCGGGCGAAGACTCCACTCCATAGGGATAACTGACTGGTTGATCACAAGCCTAACTCCTCTCGACTCTAGCAATCTGGTACCCATCCTGGATTTTTCCAAAGTATTGAAGAGTAAAACAAGCATAAGTACAAGTCGTACTCAATAAATATATCATGGGGTTCATGAGGCTCAAAAGGTTGACACTGGTTTAACTACAATTAACTTTTAGTAAGTCATCTTTTAGCAATTGAGTAGCAATAAGTTTATTATAAGCCCGTGAAAACACATGATCAGGTATACATGAATAATGAATAGCATAAACAAGTAGTCAATAGTGATCATCTATTCTATAAATGTTCTAAGGCCGCGCCGTGTCCGTGAGCACGGCTAATATACCAGTTTTACAGTCTGCAGAAGTTGTACACTTTCACTGTGAGTCGTGATTCCCAATTGCCCGGGGTTTTCAAAACCCCAAAACACTTCCAAGGTGAGCAGACAGGGTATACTATGAAGCCTTTTAAAGGTTCGTCTAACAAGTTAGGGCCGCTAGGTTTTCAATTGGTAAGCAGATGTAGGAAACTCCCTTTCGAGTGGCACAATTCTTTCACGGCTATACATATAGGAACAAATGTTGTCCTATGCCCGAATCGTTAAGCCCCTTTTGCGTCATAAAGGTAACAACTAACAAGCTAGAAAAAGTCCTCATACTTGACTAAAGCTAGAGCCATGTGGCCCTCACAGTTGTACTGCAAGTCCCAGTGACCACATATAGATAAATATTTAGGGAGAGGAATCTAGAGCACCATAAAACCCAATGCTCCAACCCTCTTAAGCCAAGTTGCTAAAAAGCATATTTTAACATTTATTGCATATACCATTAGACAAGTTACAAGATCATGATTTAAGTGGAGCACTAGCTTCATACTACCCAATGCATTAACCCAAAGGTGACAAGGTATAAGTTCAAGGCTAGGTAATCCTTAATGGCAACAAGGAAACACATGCAATATGAATTTAAGTGATTAAAGTGAATAGGATAACAAGAATGATCCCATGCTATACTTGCCTTAAACTCTGATCATTCTTCTAGTCCAAAGCTTCAAAGGAATTCCTTCTTGATCACCACGCAAAGCTCACCGACTAGACAAGATCATAAAGCACCACACAAGCATCCACACATACATACATAACATACAAATATGACTAGATTAGAGCAGTACACCAGTCAATAAAAAGATTTGAAAACTAATCTATGTATTGCTATGAGCACATAGACGCAAAAAAAACCCCGCTAATCGGAGCTATGACGAATAAGAAACGTCTATTGAAAGATTCACTTTATACAAGGAAAAGAAAACTATGAGCTTCATTTATTTTAATTATATAAAACATGTATAAGATACTATAGAGAAATACCTAAATTGAGTTAATTCAAATTAGAAAGCTAAGGTAAAACTAATCATATTTTATTCATAAATATTTAGATAGCATTTAGATTAATTAAACTTAATTTGTTAAAAAGAAAGTAAATACATGAGAACATCTTTTTGAACTGCATATGACGTGAGTCGAAGCTAATCAACTTATAATTTTAAAACACATTGGTGATAGCAATTAAATCATTTTAATATTTGCATACAAAATATCGAAGTGCAGCTCCTATGTTATTTTTAAATTAGAAAACTAATCATACGCATAATAATTAAATTATATTTAATTATGTATAGAAACATGTGATAAATTAACATTGCTGCTACGTGCGAAAGTAATGAATGGAGCAAAACGCAGCTACAAAGATACTCCCCCCGTCCAACAAATATTTGCACGTTTAGGATTCAAAAATTTTCAAAAAATAAGTGAACACTTTCACAGAGTGCAACAGGCAACAGAGCACAGTGTACTTGCAGGCGTGTGAACCAGCCGGAAACTGACGGAAGGTTACAGGATACAGATGCTCTCTCGCCCACTCATTCTCCACTCCCTTCTCGTGCACAGGCACACCGAGACTCTCGTCCACAAACTTATCCCTGGACTGTATCAAAAGAAAAGAAAAAAACCAAAGATATCTACCCGAGGCTCTCGAGATGCTTCTTATCCACTCATGCATATGCCTCAGCACCGCACGCACCTGTGCCGCCATCGCAAGGACTCTCCAGCAGCCACTTGTGCAGCAGCGACGGACTGACGTGGTGGGCGAGCACGCGCGGTGGGCGCGCACCCGCGGCAGCGGCGTCGATTGCTCGGACACCCGGCGACATGGGCAAGGGCATCAACGGCGGCCAGCGGGAGCCACGGCAACGCCACAGGTGCGCGCGGGCGGCAAGAGCTCGTCCTCATCGGCGTGGAAGACGGAGGCAAGGTCTGGCGGCTGTTGCGGCCGAAGCGCGCTCTGAGGAGGAGCCGAGGCGGCGGCAGCGAGTGGCCGAGGTCGGACGCGGCTACAACGTTGCGTGCTGGGCAAGCTCGACCGAGACAGCGGCTTCCGCTTGGCTGCCGGTGTGCGTTGGATGTGTGGGTTGAGCTTGAGCATGTGAGGGCGTGAAGATGGCCCTGGTGGAGAAGGAGATATTTTATAGGGGTGTTATTGTCATTTTGCCCTTGTCTTGGTTTTTGTGCCCATTCCTAGAAGTGCAAATATTTGTTGGACGGAGGAGTAAACGTTAAATGACTTCTTAAGCGGGATTAACTATAGACAGTGGGAGTTAGCGAGGAAAGCAAAGGATTAAAAGAGTAGATATGTACCGTCATGGACATATCGGACTGCTGATCCCTTCACTGGTCATATACAGGCATGGGTGCAGAGCGCACTTGCTTGATGTTGCGTTCTGCATCAGCTATCTAGAGGATCGGATTTCAGAACTCCACGGATGGAAGAGATCGACTGGGCATGGCATATGGAGGATGGTTGCATGGGACGCAAGGCATACCGGCGAGAAGCACTTCGGCTAGAGAAAGAGCTGGGGGACTATGAGCTGCGGGCGCACGCGGGGCTGAATGGCAACAGGGCACTCGGCTGGGTGCACTGCGGCGGGAGAAGAACTAGGGGCGCTCGATATGGACTTCATGCAAAATCGATAAGGACTTCATGCAAATTCAGTGGTGTTGCTCGGGAGTTTGGATGGCCGACGGCAGCAGGCGAGATCAGGTGACAGCGTGTCGGCGAGGTAAAAGTCTAATTTACTATCCTAGGGATTCTCAAACTAGGGCTTCTTCTTGTAGTATACATGATGTGCTTTGTCCAAAGGATTGGTACATATATAGGAAGAAAAACTTCCCACCGTCACATCAACTAGCAGTATGGTACTAACTGATATTGCACCATTCACCTCCACTAATAAACCTAAATAAACATTAAAGCCTATTAGTAAATAAAGGCATGGGCCTTTGAGAGTCGTGGAAAATTGGGCTCGGATATTTTCTAATTTTAAAATTAATTAATATCATGAAATAAAAATAATTCTAGACAGTCTAGAATTACCATTTATATCACAAAAATGCTCTGAAGCTTAGAAAAATCCCTGAAAAAATCCTAGAGACAAATTGAAAGACAAGGAACTCAGATAAAATATTAGGAGCTCATGAAAAGATTATTAGGAGCTTGGAATAAAATGGTTAATGTCAAGGAAGTAGGAATTAAATTCCAGAAAAAGCTGGAAAATTCCTAGGGATAGATATTTGTCTCCTAAACGTATTTTAAAAATATTTTGCACATATAAACACAAGGTGCAACCAGCATGAATACAATAAAATGTTGCTAAGCCTTACGATGAATTTTAATTTAATGAAACTTTTTATTTTACTATATTTCTATGAGCACAAAAATACATAATTAAATCATTTTAGCCTGATTCCAAAAGGAGTAAATTTTAGGGTGTTACAAAAAAATATGGATGGTTTTACCCCTAGGGTATCTAGGTTGAATGCTTCATGTAAGGGCATTTTGGGAATTAAAAAGCGCCAATATATAGTGGAGATGGCTGGTTGTGCAAAGCATACACTACTACACTTGGACCTTTCACAGCCACGTCGTAACCCCATCGCAGCCGCATTTCAACCTTGGCGGTAAGTTGTCAACAGTGATGGTCATATCCTTTACCGTCGTCATCTAGGACCGACTGCGGTGTACACTAACACAGCCGATTGACTTATGATCTGTCCGTGATTAGGTACTTACTTCCATCGCATTGGAGCACGACCCGGCTGTGGAGGTACAATAACACCACCGCATTAGCAAATGATCCGCCTATGTCGAGGCTATCCAAACCATCGTGTGGGCACATCAACCGCCTGTGTAGTGGTCACCAGCACCGTTGTCTTGTATTTCGATCCGACTGTCAGCGGTGCGGGTTCACTGTCGCTTTGACGGCCGACACACCTATGTAGAGGTTAACACCACCATCGCTTTAACGTATGATCCACCAGTACAAAGGTCATGGTCACCGTCGCCTTGCACCATGATCCACCTTTGATGATCGTTTAGTCGGTGTCGGGTTACTGAAGGATTCGGTGGTGATATACTTTGATCCCTGCCGCATCATACGCATAGCGACGGTGACATAATTTCATCCGGTTTCACAATAGTTACTAATTTAGCTAGGCCCTTAATAGCTTCATGAACACAAAGCATACAGATATATAATCATTACATCCATAAATCATGTTCACAAACAAAAGTACTTTTTACAATAATAATGGACGATACCATAACATCTTTCTCAACTGATGTCCTAACACAAGCGATACATAGAGCATACTAAAGGTACTGATCTATACAGACTTACATAACGAAATGACATAGTTGTGTTCCTTCTATGTGGCACTCCTGCTTACAAGGCAAAATGAATATAATTAGTGCATCCTTCGGATTGGTAGCCAATGCACTATGGAACCCCTCTTATTCATCTTTGATCCACAACTTGAACAAAGCAGCAAAATTAATAATATTGAACATACCATTCCTTTAGTTAACAAGCCAAAATTGGCCTATACATAGATAGAATGAAAAAACTCCCTACCTGAACAAAGACTGTTGTGACGACGAAATGCAGCAAAATGCACCTTTACTGCTCTGCTAAAGACTCAATGAACAAGGGAACATAAGGAAGATAGTAAGGCCTTTTCATATGGAAATGCCCTCTTGATCTACAAAAGCAGATGACACGGGCATGGATGACATGAACCTTTCTGTGGTCCATGTCATATGCAATAAATGTTCTATCCTTCCCAACAAGGAAAATAAAATTCTATTCTGGGTGAACTATAATCACTCTGTACTCCTCATCACAAAGCTCAGAACTAACTTTAATATTCATGTGTCCAAACAGTTCCTCCATATCTACAACTTGCTTCAAACTCCAGTTATCAGTACCATAGTCTTTAAGTATCCATATTAAAAGCCAAGATCTATTGCGAAAATCAGCACAGCACACACAGGTGACCTTGAGCTTAATGGATAGACATTTCAGCACCACCTAGTTTATGAATTGTCCTCCATGTCTTTCCCTCCATATCCACAACAACTATCATAGAGTACTCAGCCATGTGCATAAAACCATTAAGAAAAACACTTCTCGATTTTGAACATAGAACAATACTACCCTCGTCCCATTCAGATTCCTTAAAGATCCATGCTGTAGTTTTAGATGAGTAGATCTCCACACCTACGCACGCACCCTCCACCTCAACAAATTCAATCACATGGAAGTGCGAGGACGTTGGGTCAAAACCTAAGCGAGCCTGACCAACAGAACGAATGCTACGTGGCAGTACATGCCATTTGCGGGTCGCCGGATTGCAAACAACATAGCAATGTAATCCATCAGGCCCAACACACTAGCAAAGGTTGAGGCCGCTGCAACAATCTGAGACTATGACTTTTTTAAGGGGGAAGGGAAAGAAGGACAAGGAGGGTCGTTCACTGGTGATGCTGGTGAAGTGGCGATTGCCCTTCCACCAGCTGCCATAGAAGCTGACGACAGTCTGTGAAAGTTTCTTATGTTGATAGGAGTCGGTGATGACGTGCTTTCAGGAGCGATAGACACACTTGCAGCAGCACAAGGACCGGGCAGGAAGGTAGCGGAAGATGTCGCAAGCACATCATCTGAGAGGTTGTCCACTGCATTCCTCATGTTGGGTGCCTCCTTCATCTGGAAGGACACCACCAGCCGAAGAGATGATGCCACCCTATTATGGAATTGCATCAATAAGCATTAGTAAGGAGATGAGTTTCGAGGAGAAGGGACAGCAATGCAAGTAAGGCCTTATTACACTTGCCTTTGGATCTAGCGGCGGTGAGCACGAGTGGCAACGCCAGTGACAGCAGCAGCTCATTCGCTGGTGGATCTGTGCGGGCAATCCGACGATGTGCATCGACGTGGAGCAAGAGCTGAGTAGTGCTGATGAGCAGGAGCGGCGATGACGAATAGCAGCAATGAGAAAAATAAAATCTATATGTGTGGGGGGGAGGGTGGGTGGTGGTGGGGTGGGGGTGTAGGGGGGGAGGGTTAGGAGGGATGTTGGAGTAGGGGTTGCTTGCTCTCTACGTAACTTTTATGACACGTGGGAATCGAACTTTCATCAGCTCCGCGCAGGAGGGTTCCAACGAGAAGATGCATTTTCATCTGTAGACCCAACAAAAATACTATAGCTAGGTTGGAGGTGAAGGAGCAGAGAACATGAGAGAGAGAGAGCAATACAAAGGAATATAGAATCCAGTGAAGGAGCAGATCCAGTGCAGTTACCTTAGATCCGGATAGAGCAGACAAGTAGGGACGGCACGCTGAAGATTTGTGCACCGGTGAGGTTGGAGGTGAAGGAGCAGTGAGCACGCAAGAGGTTTCCTTTCATCCGATGCTAGCAGGGTGAAGCAGAGCAAGGGAGCAGAGTGGGGAATGGATGGAAGGAAGGTGTGGTAGGACCATAGGAGAGTGTATATACAGTTCAATAAATTGGTTGCCCCTGTAACAGGGCCGAGTGTCCAGGGAAGTAGGATGCCTCCAACACATCAATTGGTACTTGGATCTACTATCATTTACAGTTCAATAAATTGAACACCTGGTTAATCACCTTGTATTTAGTTCCACAATAGTTGTACAAAAGTGACAGATTTCAGTCCGATGCATCAATTGATACTTGGATCTACTATCATTTATAGTTCAATAAATTGAACACCTGGTTAATCACCTTGCATTTAGTTCAACAATAGTTGTACAAAAGTGACAGATTTTAGTCCAATACATAAATTAATACTTGAATCTACTGTGGTGAACTAAGCAACTTGCCAATGAACATACCAAGAACTAAGGTAAGTACAAAATAGGTGAAACTAGAACAGGAAGCTCATTTCTTTCTCAAAGGTATGAAATCTTCCATCATCTTCGTTGGAACACTGGCCATTTCTTCAATCTGTGGCATAATCTCTTCCTCCTCCTATAGATGTTTTTCATTTGTTGCAACATTGGCCTTCGCCTTCAGCTCCCAAATCTTGTTACATAAATCCAAAATCAAAGTCCTCAGAAATTTTCCATATTGGGGATTGTGCCACTTAAAGAACCCGCAATCTAAGTCGGGCTACGAAAAACCAAATTACCATAAGTACAACTGGATTTCAGCATTTGTATTGCGAAAACAGAACGAACAAGAAAGAAATCGAGTTACATTATTTGCCCTACAGCATCTGTGGGACCAACGTCCTAGGTTTCCATCACTCCACAAAAACCACCAAGGCGTCTTCAAGCCATAGCGACACAAAAGTGGTGGCTGGTATGCATAGGGGTGGTTCTCAACACGACATGGGATGGGTGGCCCCCTCCCGTTGTAGCCTCCTCCACTAGAAGCTGGTGTTCTTCTCACGACGACGCCCTAGGATGGTGCCGACCACTGGGAGGAGTTGGAGCTAGATGCAGCCATGGAGCAGTCAAGGTTCAAAGTGTTGCACACTATGAGTGAAGAGGTTAGCCCAGGTCTTATGTCTACGCTTTTGCCTCCCGCCAAGGTGCCAAAACATCCTTCAAAACCCTCGCACTCCTGCCAAGATGAAATGCTATGTCACCGGCGGTTCAGGGTACTATCCGCTTATGGAGGTGCACAAGTGGACCACAATCAAGACCAACTGATTCAATTAATAGTTCAACCGAAGTAATAGTTCAAT